GTCTCCCCACCCCTACAGAATTTGAGAGAAACTGCTCAGCATCTAGAGACAGTTGGGTTACCTGCAGCTTGCAAGTGGTCTGTCGCAGGGCAGCCGAGGCCATGCCAGGGGCACTGGTGCTAATACACAATCTGCAGGACCTGCTCCACCAGGGCAATGGCCCTGACATGGTGCTCCTTCCAGAAGCCGGGTGCGAGGAGGGGATTGCACAGGGGTCAGTACTCGCGGTCTTCTCAGGGCGGTTATCCGCACCCAGGTCCCTCAAGTACTGAGGGGCTAATGGCTTCTAAGTAGACGTCTTACATTTTTGAGCATCAGAATGCATGCAGGTTTCTGGGCCCCTTATCCATGTTCTTGGGTGGTTAGAGGGGAGGCAGTGGGCAAGAATCCTTGCATTTGGCCAGCGTGATGGCCACACCTGTAATCAAGCATTTTGGGAGGCCAAGGAGGGAGGATCGCTTGATGTCAGAAGTTAGAAGTCAGCCAAGATAACACAGGGAGACCTTCTGTCTCTACAAAAAAACAAAAATTAGCCAGGCGTAGTGATGTGCGCCTCTAGTCTCAGCTGCTCTGGAGGCCGAGGCAGGAAGATCACTTGAGCCTGGGAGGTCGAGGCTGCAGGGAGAGGTGATCGGGTCCCCGCACTCCATCCTGGACAAGAGAGAGAGACCCCATTTCGAAGAAAAAACCTTAGCACTTAACCTCACCAGGTGTTAACACAAACACCCGCCACCTTAGGGCCCCTCAGCACCTACAGCACCACACCTGTGTGCCCTGGAGGACACAAGGACCCAGGACAAGTCCTGACCTCCATTCCTGGCTCTGTGGACTTGGCTGAGCCACCTGCCCTCACCTTCTCAGTGAGGAAAGGAAATGCCCCATGCCAGCCCCATGTGCTAAATGCCAAGTATAAAGGTGGTAAGGGGCCTGGCCAGCTTTGCACACTGGAAAGAACAGACGGGATGAAACCCAGCAGGCCTCGATTCTCCAGGGCTGTAGCCTGGGCCCTGCAGTGTGAAAAGCTTGAGAAAACCTCCGCTTAGGACAGTGGTTCCTGAACATGGCCAGGATTATCAGAAACCCCTGGTGTTTCTGATTAGCCTTATCATCCATATAAGGATGTAAATCACAGCAGTGCACACAGGGTGAACCCAAATGTTGGACGCTGCTGCCTAAGTCTTTGGTCATTTCAACAGAACTAATACTGGCACCACTTGCATGGAGCTTGGCTTGCTTCTGCCTTCCTCCCGGGGAAGAAAACAAAAAGAAGGAATAAACCACATTGTGCACAAAAATTAACCTTGCAGATGTGGATTTGGTAAATCTAGAAAGATCAGGAGCTTTCCAGCAGCCCACACAAGACGTCTAAATTTGATATATTAAGGAATAGCGATGAAGTGTGTAGCTTTTTTTAAATAAGAGATGGCAGTCTCGCTTTGATACCCAGGCCAAACCCCTGAGCTCAAGCAATCCTCCTGTCTTGGCCTCCCAAGGCTGGAACTACAGGCCCATGACACCATGCCTGGCTAGTTTTTAAAACTTTTTTGTAGAGACAGTCTCGCCATCTTGCCCAGGCTGGTCTCAAACTCCTGGGCTCAGCGATCCATCTTCATCTCCCAAAGTGTTGGGATTATAGATATGAGCCACAGCCCCCAGCCAAGTGGATACTTTAGAGATAGTGCAGCAGTAACTGCTAGAGGTAATGAAAGCTGCAAAAATTTCTAGAAGTTGCCTCTGAGGAATGAGACTTGGAAAGCGACAGCTTTTAACCATAGGCACATACCACTTTGATAAATTTCCCAAATTTCAAAAAATAGACTGGGTGTGGGGGCTCCCAGTTTGTATATATAAACTGTCTTTCATCCAACTCTTGGAATCAGAGTAAAGCTTTTGGAAATCCATTTTGTCAGAGGTGAAGCATCTAACTGTTCTGAATGCTATTTCAAATTCAGTTAATAAAGCTCAACGTTGAGGACAGAAATTTGTTTCTTCAGTGGACATACACTTACAAATGCCATGGTAAGGACGGAGGCTCAAGCCTGCAATCCTAGCACTTTGGGAGGCTGAGGTGGGTGGATCATGAGGTCAGGAGTTCAAGACCAGCCTGGCCAAGATGGTGAAACCCCATCTCTACTAAAAATATAAAAAATTAGCCAGGCGTGGTGGCAGGTGCCTGTAATCCCAGATACTCGGGAGGCTGAGGCAGAGAATTGCTTGAACCTGGGAGGCGGAGGTGGCAGCGAGCCAAGATCATGCCATTGCACTCTAGCCTGGGCAACAGAGCTAGAGTCTGTCTCAAAAAAAAAAAAAAAACCATGGTAAAAACAGGCTTACTAAATTAAAAATCCATGCAGCAGAAATGTACTTGTTCATACACAATTGTGGAACCTGGCACTCTTACTTTCCTGTTGCTTCTGCAGTGTATTAGGAATGGCCAAATTTGAGACACTGGTGATGCCAACCAACCCAGTCACTGGGAACAAGCAGGTCAGCAATGAAGCAAGTAGGGCAGCCCATGGCCCTCTCTGCAGCCTGAAGTTTCAGGAATTCCCCTCCTCGTGAATTCCTATGGGAAAAATCTGTCACTTCCTTCGCCAGTATTTTGTTTTGTTTTGTTTTGTTTTGTTTTGAGGCAGAGTCTCGCTCTGTCGCCCAGGCTGGAGTGCAGTGGTATGATCTCGGCTCACTGAAAGCTCTGCCTCCCGGGTTCATGCCATTCTCCTGCCTCAGTGTCCCGAGTAGTGGAACTACAGGTGACCGCCACCACGCCCGGCTAATTTTTTGCATTTTTAGTAGAGACGGGGTTTCACCATATTAGCTAGGATGGTCTCGATCTCCTGACCTTGTGATCCGCCTGCCTCGGCCTCCCAAAGTGCTGGGATTACTGGCGTGAGCCACCGCGCCCAGCCTTTCTCCATTCTTTTATACAGCACAGAGCTGTTTCCTTAGTTTGAGGACGAGGAAATATATTAGACACTCTCCAGACCCAGCTCTGCTCTTTTAGGTCTTTTTGTTCCTTCTTATTTGTTTTTAAATTAACAAATACAAATCGTATCTATATTTAAGGTGCTGTTTGAGAACTGGCTCTTGAAGAAGCTCTTTAGATAGAAAATGGCTGAGGGAGGAGGTGGAGTGGGAAAAAAGAAGAGAAAAAAGATATGAAATGGCTGAATTCAAGTGGCCATCAGCTCTGTTTGACATATAGTATCCAGAAGATTCCAACAGGTGGGATGTGGCATAGTAGAGAATGCATCCCTGATGGGGATACTCGGGAGTCTCAGCAGCTCCTGGGGCTCATCTCGACTTGACCACTCAGGACCGTTGCTCCCAATGTTAAGAGTTTCTTTTCCTAAGATAACCACCCCATGTTCTCAGATGTTCTTTGCACAGGTATCTTTGACGCCCCTCCCAGGACACGAGAGTGATGCTATGGACTTCTGAGGCTGGGACATAAAAGGCCACATGGCTTCTGCCTAGTTTGCTTGAGATGGGCACCCTTGGAAGCCACATGCAGAAGGACGTGTGTGCCGGGTGATGACAGCAGCTGATAAGTGAATGTCTTCAGGCGACGCTAGCCTACAGCTGCTAAATCACGTCTCAGACACTAGGGAACAGATGAGGCTTCCCCCACTGAGTTCTACCCAAACAGTGGGTTTGCCACCACCCAGCTAATTTTTTGTATATTTTGTCAAGATGAGATTTCACCACGTTGCCCAGGCTGCTCTTGAACTCCTGGGTTCAAGCGAAGCCTTTGCCTAGGCCTCTCAAAGTTCTGGGATTTCAGGCATGAGACACCGTGCTCGGCCTGTTTTGTTTTTTAAAACAACTGTATTGAAACATGATTCAGACACTATACAGTTGACCTACTTAAAGTGACGATTTAATGCTGTTTCAGGTATTCAGAGTTGTACAACCATCTCAATCAATTTCAGAGCATCTTCATAAGCACCCCCAAAAGAAAACCTGCACTCATTAGCAGTGCATCTCCATTTCCTCGCAAACCTCCTCCCAGTCCTGGGCAAGCACTCATCTACTTTCTGTCTCTCAAATAGATTTGTCTATTCTGGACATTTCATATAAACGAAGCCATACAATAGGAAACCTTTTGTAATTGGCTTCTTTAACTTGCCATGTCTTCAAGGTGCACTTACATTGTAGATGTTTCAGTACTTCTGTTCGTTTGTTTGTTTGGAAACAGGGTTTGGTCTGTCACCCAGGCTGGAGTGCAGTGGCACAATCATAGCTCACTCCAGACTTGCATACCTGGGCTCAAGCAATCCACCCGCCTCAACTTCCTGAGCAGCTGGGACTACAGGCGTGTGCCACGGGGCCCCAAACTCTCTTTTTATGTTTAGTAGAGACGGGGTCTCGCTTTGTTGCCCAGACTGGTCTGGAACTCCTGTCTTCAATCAGTCCTCCTGCCTTGGCCTCTCAAAGTGCTGAGATTAAAGGTGTGAGCCACTCTTTTTTTTTTTTTTTTTTTTTTTAATGGCCGAATAATAGTTTCTGTTTATGAATATGCCACATTTTCTTATGCATTCTTCATTGATACACATTTGGGTTGTTTTTAATTATCAGCTATTACGAGTAATGATACTGTGAAAACTCATGCCCAAGTTTTTTGTGGGGAGATATGTTTTCACTTCTCTTGGCTATACACCCACAAGTGGAACTGCTGAATCCTATGATAATTTTATGTTTAATCCTTGGAGAAATTGCCAAACTATTTTCCAAAGTGGTTGTACAATTTCACATTCCCTCCATCAGTGTGTGAATTTTCTCCCCCATCTGTCTCTTGCTCACTCTCTTGCCATGTGACATGCTGGCTATGCTTCCCCTTCTGCCGTGATTGTAAGCTTCCTGAGGCCCTCCCCAGGAGCAGATGCTGGCACCACACCTTCTTGTACAGACTGCAGAACCGTGAGCCAAAGAAACCTCTTTTCTTTGTAAATGACCCAGTCTCAGGTATTCTTTTATAGCAACGGAAACAGACTAACACACAGCATCCTGGGAGGTTTTATTCTTCGTTTGGTGGTGACTCTACTGTTAAGTTTTTGTCCAAATACTTCCGTCCCTAAGAATTTACTGAGGCAGTTCTAAATTAGAAAAAGCATGAGAGAGCAAAAGAGGTGACAGAAGAGCCTTGGGCAGCCTGAGCCACGATGGGCCTAGATGAAGTAGTTGGGACATTCGTGGGCAAACAAATGCCAGGCTTGATTAAAGGCGTCCACGACAGCTGGCTCCAGGGGCCCTTCCTCTGCCGCTGCCAAGTTCTGCTCCAGCTGCTCCAGGCTGGACATGCCCAGGATGACCGCGTCCCGGTGGGCACCCTGAAAGGGAGACAGCCAGACTTCAGCCTTCTTCTGCTACACAGCGACTCCACTCACAACCCTCCCAGTCACGACCCTACCGAGATTTGGGCTCTCTTATATCCCATATGTCCAGAAAGAACTTAAGGTGCCTTGGATAGCTGTACCCATGTCACTCAAAACCTGTATTATTTCCCCTACTGCCACATGACGCTTCCAGACAGACCTACATTCACAGCCCAGTTCTGCCCCCCAGCAGCCGTGTAAAGGTGACTAAGTTATTAAAACCTCTCTGACACTCTATCCTCTATTTTCAACATAATTATGTGTATGAAGAAGTAATGTAGAGCACTTAGCTCCCATTTATTGAGCACCTACTGTATATGTGCCAGACACTATTGCAACATCTGAGGCTGGAGTTGGAGAAAAATTTGAAAGAGGAAGACATGAGGCACTGAGAGAGGGAAATTCCAGCTCCCACCAAGAGGATGAGACTAGTGGGTTTTACAGTTAAACCTGTGTTAAAATGTATTCCCCTTTCATAGCTGGGTGAGACTCAGTTTCCTCATCAATAACACTGGGACAGTCATTTCATAAAGCCGAAGGAATAATGAAATCTCTGCAGTAAAGCCCTCATTACAAAGCCTGGTACTCAGATACCATCAAAGACCAATGGGAAGGCGGAGCACAGTGGCTCACGCCTGTCATCCCAGCACTTTCAGAGGCTGAGGAGGGTGAATTGTCTGAGCTCAGGAGTTCGAGACCAGACTAGGCAGCTTGACGAAACTCAGTCTCTACTATAAATACAAACAATTAGCTGGGCACGGTGGTGCACGCCTGTAATCCCAGCTACTCAGGAGGCTGGGAGAGGAGAATTGCTTGAGTCTGGGAGGCAGAAGTTGCAGTGACCTGAGATCATGCCACTGCACTCCAGCTGGGGTAACAGAGCGAGACTCTGTATCAAAAAAACAAAAACAGTGGGAAGAGTGTTTATGAGAGTTAGAAGAAAGAAATTTCAGAGGAATCGAGAAAACAAATGCTTTGGGCTTCACCTAAATGCTGGTCCCCCTGGAAGGGAAGAAGCTGAGCGCCCAGGGTCGCTGGTTACCTGCAGCTGTGAGTGGTGGTACATCCACCGGAGGGCGGCTGAGGTCATGCTGGGGGTGCCGGCGCCATATGCAGCCTGCAAGGCCTTCTCTACCAGGGCAATGCCCTCGAAGTGGTTCTCCTTCCAGAAGCTGGAAAGGGGGGACGGTGGCACAGGGGTGAGTACCATGGGGGTCATACTGGGAGCCACAACCAAAAAGGGTCATCCAGGGCCACTGCCCCACCCCACACCCTGCAGCCCTGAGGGGAGGGTGTCCTTTCTGGTCATAGGTCTCCCACTTTGCTGGGCATCAGAACCACCCAAGATGCCGGCCCTCTCAACAGAGACCTCAACCAATCTTTATTCCTGAGAACTCATCACCCTGCTCTTATTTTCCCCTAGGGACACAAAGGCCGCTGAGACGGGGCAGGATTTGGCCCCAGGCCTCCTGGACCTCCCTCCAGGGCTCCTTCTTTCTTTCCTAGCAGGTGATTGCTCAGGAAAGAGCTACGACTTCAAGACCCTGAGGTCCAGGGAGCCTCATTTCCTCCTAGAGGTCCCCAGACAACAAGAAAACCCACGGAGGGTTTGGAAATTCCTGAAGGAATGCAGGGGAGTAGGTGCAGCAGCGAGGAAAGGCCTTACCCCAGGAGCAGCCAGGACTTCCTTCCACATAAAGCCGACCCCACCCAGCCATCCACACCAAGCACCTCCAGCTCACCGATTCCTGTAGATCTCTGCCCACTGATGCCCAAAAAAGCGGCTCACAGGCTGTTTCCCGTCCTTGTCCTCATACTTGTACTTGCCAGTCAGCAGGCCCCCTGCGGGAAGGCAGTGATCAGCCCCAGGACCCAGAGTGCCCCAGAAGCTGCCACATCCCTCAGGGCTCTGGTCTAGGGGAGGGGCGGGGACCCAGGAGGGCTGAAGGATGCAGCCCAGCCTCTTGTCAAACCCTCCCTGCTTCCCAGGTCCTGGGCTGGGCATCTGTGGGTCGGGAATAGGCTGAGTCAGGGCCAGGAATGCTCCACGTACCAGCCAGAGGGCCGTAGGCATAGAACCTCAGTCCAAAGTGCCTGAGGCAGGGGAAGAGCTCTGTTTCCACTTGCCGGGTGGTGGCGCTGTACCTGCCCTGCAGGGAGAGGGACCCCGGAGAGAGAGTGGATGTGTCAAAAGAAGGGACCTCAAATTTACCCTTATAGAGCCCTTATTTCAGACCTTATCAACTCTAGGACTTTAACCATCTGGGCATTTACTAATTCTTACTGGTGCTGGCGAAAGGGGCTTATGCCCGGGGAAAATTCATTCATTCAGCCAACTTTCATGAGCACCAACTGCGGGCTGGTTGTCAGATTTAGATTCTTAAGCCAAAAGGACAGGGTCCCTTCCCTCAAGGTTTTATAACAAGGTCAAGTATAAATAGTTATAATCGAATAATGAAGCAATCTTAATAGACTAGAAAGTTCTGTGACCAGTGCCTGGCACCAAGCAGGTGTACAAATATTTGTACAATGAATCATGAGGAGGTAAACAAGGACCTGAGGTCTCAGGGTCTTCTGGGCCCATCTAGAAAGGCTTCCAGAGGATGAGACACGTATATGAGACCTGAACCCTTCTCCCAGGGAAGGGGCAGTGGCAGGGAAGGGACAGTGGCGGGGAAGGGCATGTTCCAGGCTGAGTGGAGTGCCAGGTGGGGAAGGAAGGGTCCAAGGTGCACAGATAGGCAGGAAGGAAGCAGATGCCTAGTGGCCAGTCTGAGGAGCTTCAATGGCATTCTGAGGATACCTGGGAGCCATCTGCAGGCTTTCAGCAGGGGGTGGCTGCTATGCAGAGGGCACAGGGGGCAGTCAGGGCGGCAAAGACAGCCCAGGATGAGCAGGAGTTCTGGAGACCTTGGCCTCTGCAGCCCCGGCCCTCACCTGGTACACAGTGGGCAGGATCCAGCCATTGCTCTTGCAGAGGGTACAGATCTCGGCCACTTCCCAGGCGGCATAGTTGGAGAGGCCAAGTTCCACGAACTTGCCCTGCAGGGGTGAGGCTCCAGTCAGAACGCAGTGCAGCCCAGACCAGGAAGGGGAGGCCAGGGTGGGGCCCTTGGGAGTGGGACTGTTCCCTGCTCCACCCTGGGACCGCCCTGGTACCTCTGCTGTCATGAGTAGGAACGGGATAAGGAGAGCAGCAGCACACCACCTCCCAGAGCTCAGGGGTCCCCTCACCTCCTGGTGCAGCTGGTGGCAGGCGCGCAGCGTCTCTTCCACCGGGGTACTGTGGTCAGGTCCATGTAGGTAGAAGAGGTCCACTCGGGGACACTGCAGCCGCTTCAGTGACGTCTCCAGCTGGAACCGGAGACTGTCAGGCTTCAGGGAGTTCCCCATCCATGGATTGGCCTTGGTAGCAATTTTCACTGAGAGGAGAGAGAAATGAAAATATTGAGGACTGGACGTGGTGCGGCTCACGCCCGCTAATCCTCAGCCACACTGGCGAGGACCGAGGAAGGTAATCCCTTGAGCGTCAGGACATTTGAGACCATCCTGGGCCAACACTGGGCTGAAACGTCACTAACAAAAATACAGAAATTAGCTGGGGTGGTTGTGCAGGGCCTGTAATCCCTGCTGTAGGCGGAAGGTTAGGCACAAGAATTTCCATGAAACCGGCCGCCGGTGTGGTGGCTGTAACGCCTGCCTAATCCAGCACATTGGAGGCCGCTGAGGACAGGCAGATCACAAAGTCCGGAGTTCAAGACTTATTCCTAGCTAACACGGTGAAACCCTGGTCTCTACGTATAACAATAGCAAAAGATTAGCTCGGGCATGGGTGGGTGGGCCAACCCTGTAGTCCCAGTTACTCGGGAGGCTGAGGGCAGGAGATGGCTCGAACTGGGAGGGCGAGCTTGCAGTGAGCTGAGATCGCACCAGCTGCACTCGCTTGGGCGATAAAGGTTGAGGCCAGGTTCTGTCTCAAAAAAATTAAAAAAGAAACAAGAAAGGGAAAGAATTGCCATGAATCTGGGGAGGGAAGAGGTTGCAGTGCGCCTAGATCACGCCATTGCCAGTAAAGCGACGCTGGGCAACAGACAAGATGGTCAAAAAAAAAAAAAAGTTCACCTTAACAGCTGTTCTCCCTGGGCGCCCCCTATTAAGAATCTTAGATTGGAGGCCGGCGGCTTCAGCTGGCCTCAAATAGTAATCCCAGTTTCGGGAGGGGTTGAGGCCACGAAGGAATCGGAGTGAACCCAGCGAGGCGAGAGGTTTGCAGCTGAAACCGAGATCTTACCACTACACTTGCGCCAGGCCTGTGGCTGCAGAACGCAGACTCTGTGGTTCAAAAAAAAAAAAAATCCTAGATTGGAGATTACCGGCAGCTTGAGCTCACCCCTCATAAGGCCAACACTTTAGGCCGGGAGGTGTGGATTGTCTTGAGCCCAGGAGTTCGAGACCAGGGCCTGGGGCAAATGTGTGAAACCCTGTGCCGTGCTCTACAAAAAATGATCAAAATGTGGCCGGGCATGGCGAACACATGCCTGCTAATCTCAGATACTTGGGGAGGGCCTGAGGTAGAGAGTCGCCATGAGCCGGTAGGAGCGCAAGCTGTAGTGAGCAAATGTTGCTGCCACTGTGCTCCAGGTGGGGACAAACAGAATGAGACCCTGTTTCAAAAGAAAAATTAAAGCAAAGCAATCCTAGCATCCTAGGGGTGGTGGCACTAACAGGGGGAGTGCGGAGAGCTCCGTCTTTCCCACTTTTTCCACACTTAGAAAGTCACTTAGGCTGGCAGGGGGGGCAGTCACTGACCCTTGCAGGACCTGCGGAGGGAGGCAGCGTTTGAGGCAACCATTTCATTTGGAATTTTTCCATGCCACGCCTCCAGCCCCTCTGGCTCTCAACGGAACTTCACGTATCAGATCTGAGAGTCTTGAGGACTTTCACCAGCAAACCTTGGAGAGACTCAAAGACAGAGAAGACAAGAAGGATTAACAAAGAAAGAGAAAAAGTCAGAAATGTAAGGGCTAGGCAGAGGCTGGCAGATCTGTGTTGGCTTCACACCTGTTAATCTTCGGGCACTTTTGGGAAGCGCAGGGCAGTAGGATTACCGCTCGAGCCCTGGAGTTGGAGACCAGCCTGGGGCAGACGAATTAGACTCTGGTTTCGATGTAATAATACAGAAATTTAGCAGGTGGGTGGCACAGGGTCTGTGTTAGTCCCAGGCTACTCAGTAGGCGGGAGGTGGGCGAGGATGGCCTTGAGCTCCTGAGAGGTCAAGCGCAGAGTGAGCCATGATCGCACTATTGGCACTCCAGCCTTGGGTAAAAAGGAAAGCAAGGCCCTGTATCGAAAACAATACAACAACGAAAAAAAATCCCAGAAATAAGATCAGAGCTTCGTCGACCAAGTGGCGAGGTCAGGGTGATCTAGGAAAGAGCGTGGCACTGGAGATGCAGGGCACGGGCGTTCTTTTGTTTGGGATGTACCACTTTGCGTGAATCAGGAGGTGAGAAATGGACAAGACTCCACTCAAGACATCAGAGTGGAAGGAGTGGACAATTAGTGCTAAGTATTAAGAACACTAGCAAACAGCGTAACAGTTTCCAGCCCTCACTATGTCTGCCAGGCTCCGCTTAAGGCCACCGCACCAGTGGCATTCAGTACTGAGGGTGGCTCCTCCTGACCCTTTACACACATCCGTTCCCTCGGGGGCTACACCTGCCTCTTCCCCCACCGACAGCGGTTGGCCCAAATCACATTGCCTTTCCACACCCATGCCCACTGCGCCTGGGATTGCCCCCCTCTGCCCGCCTCTGACTCCGTCTCTGGCAAACTCCTTATCCGTCTTTCTTCACGGAGTCCCTCCCAAACAAGGGGCTCACTTGGCTCTCCAGCCATCTCTAGAATTCGAACTTCCTGGAGTGGGTTAGTGTCCATTTCTCTCCAATAGCCTCAGACAGAGCCTCCCACAGAGAGGGCAGCGAGACCCTGTACCACACCCAATTCCCCATCGCGCTAAGGGAGCTGCCAAGGTTCCCGGGCGTTGCCACCCTGGTGAGGTACCATTGTGAGCACCACAAGGTACTCCGAGCAAAGTCCAGGTCCCTGAGCAGGCTGGCGTGAGCGTAGGAGCAAGCAGATAGTGTGCTGGGTCTAAACTCTGATTTCAGACCGTGCCAGGGAGTGCCAGGAGATAAGCACAGAATTTCTGCAGATCAGGCCCGTCAAGGGCACCTGCAGGGCACAGGTGGGGACAGCAGTTGCACAATGCCAGATCGCAGTGTTTTTCGTGCTCCAGGGAGGGGCTAGCCAAGTCATTGCAGGCAAGACCAAGTCATCCAGGCGTCAGTGAGGGTGCGGAGCTACCTCCCGAACAGAAGACGAGAGAAAAGGAGTCCAGACAAAGTACTGTCCAGTTGTCCAGAGTTACATGTGCCTGAGGAGCCTGGGGTTCCCAAGGCTGAGAGGAGGACGGGGGTTGGGGGGTGGGGAACAAAGCCGTGGGTGCTGCCTGGGGCCAGGGAGAGCTGGGCGGTGCACGGCTGTGGACAGGCTCAGCTCTGCACAGTGTAGAAGGAGAATCAGGGGCCACTGTTACCTCTGCAGTTGCTGCCCCCCAGCCCGAGCCCCAGGCCGCCCAGGATGGTCTCGGACTGGCCGTCGGTGTACAGGAAGGCCGTGTCTATCTCGGTGTGGCCTCGCTCCAGGAAGGCGCGCGTGACTGCGGCGCTGGTGGGCGCGTCCATGCGGCGCCCCATCTCCATGGCGCCCAGCACCGTGGCGGGCCGGGCCCGCGATAGCTGCCGGGACATGACAACTGCAACGGGATACTGCGACAGCCCGGGCGCAGCGCGCAGCGGTCGGTCGGAAGCACTAGCCCCGGAGCTGGCGGCCGCGTGGCTTTAGGGACTGGCTCGGGCCCCGCCCACCGCGGGGTGGGGTTGAGGGCGCGGCGGAAGGTGCCCAACACCGCCCACGCGCTGGACTCCGCGCTCCACCACGAGGACCGTCTGCACTTGCACCAAGCAAGAGGCGAAATGACTGTGGCTTCCTACCGGTGACCCACGTCTTGGCCATTTTAACACTCCTCAACGTCCGCAAGGGTGAGGGGGTCCAAGGGTGGCGACGATCCCCAAGGGCGGGGACTCCTCCCTGCCCCGTCGCCCCCCAACCCTGGGCCTCGCCCGCTCGGAAGCTGTCCCAGGTCTCTTTGTCTCGTCCAGGACGGAGCTTAAGGAGTGGGGTGGACCTAAGGGCTGTTCCACCTGCCTGCCCTGTGGTTCAGGAGGACGAGGCTTGCCATAAGGCTTAAGACAGAGTCCCCGTGGAGTGACATGGTTAAAGTCTTGAAAGAAAAGAACTGTTGGCATTGAATTCTGTACCTAAGTGGAAAAAAATAAAAAATAAAAATAAAAATAAAAAAACGGACTGGCTGTGGTGCCTTACGCCTCTATCTCAACACTTTGGGATATCAAGGCAGGAGAATAGACTGAGCCCAGGAGTTTGAATCCAGCCTGGGCAACATAGGGAAGCCCTGTCTCAAAAGCAAAAAAGAAAAAAGAAGGTAGAAAAATGGACCAATGCCCGGCTGCAGTGTGCTATGATAGCTCCACTGCACTCTGCCCTGGGTGACAGAGGGCAAATCTGTCTCCAAATACAAAAGAAAAAAAAAAAAAAAGACAAATAGACAGATGGAACAAATGAAAAACCAATAGCAAGATTAATTTAAACCTAATCATATCAATAATTACATTAAATATAAATGAAAAAAATACAAGTAAAAGGCAGAGATTGTTAGAATGGATAAAAAAGCAAAACCCAACTATATAGTAAATATTAGAAAACTATTGAAATATATAAACAGAGTAAGTGAACAGTAAAAAGACGGACCACGTCTGTAATCCCAGCACTTTGGGAGGCCAAGGGGGGCGGATCACCTGAGGTCAAGAGTTGAAGACCAGCCTAACTAAAATGGAGAAACCCCGTCTCTACTAAAACTACAAAATTAACCGGGCATGGTGGTGCATGCCTGTAATCCCAGCTACCTGGGAGGCTGAGGCAGGAGAATCGCTTAAACCTGGGAGGCGGAGGTTGCGGTGAGCCAAGATCACACCATTGCCCTCCACTCCAGCCTAGGTAACAAGAGCAAAATTCTGTCTCAAAAAAAAAGAAAAGAAAAGAAAAAGTTAAAAAGATGGGAAAAGACATACCTTGACAAAACTAAATTTTAAAAAGTTGGAAAGGCTACATCAATATCAGACAAAGTAGATTTCAAAACAAAAAATACTGGCCCACACAGTGTTTGACACCTGTAATCTCAGCACTTTGGGAGGCTGAAAAGGGAGGATTGCTTGAGCCCAGGAGTTTGAGACCAGCCTGGGCAACACAGAGAGATCTTATCTCTACAAAAAAAATTTTAAAAAGATTATCACAATGTGGTAGCATGTGCCTGTGGTCCCAGTTCTTCAGGAGGCTGAGGTGAGAAGATCAGCTGAGCCTGGGAAGTCAAGGGGGCAGTGAGCTGTGTTCATGCCACTGCACTCCAACCTGGGCAGCAGATTGAGACCCTGTCTCAAAACAACAACAACAACAACAACAACAACAAAAACCTACCAAAGACAAAGACAGACATATCATAATGACAAAGAGGTGAATTAACAAAGAAAATATAATCCTCAATGTATATGCAAATAAAAGTAGAGCATCAAAATGCATGAAAAGCAATAATAGAACTTAAGAAGAAATAGACAAATACAAAATTATAGTTGGAGGTTTCAACACACCACTCTCAACAGTTGTAGAACAGTTATCAGTCATAATTTACAGAAACTCAGTAAAGGTATACAAGACTCGAACAGGCCCGGCGCCATGGCTCACACCTATAATCCCAGCACTTTGGGAGGCTGAGGCAGGTGGATCACGAGGTCAGGAGTTCAAGACCAGCCTGGCCAAGATGGTGAAACCCCGTCTCTACTAAAAATACAAAAAATTAGCCAGACATGGTGGCAGGGTAATCTCAGCTACTTGGGAGGCTGAAGCAAGGAATTGCTTGAACCCAGGAGGCAGAGGTTGCAGTGAGCTGAGATCGTGCCACTGCACTCCAGCCTGGGTGACAAAGCAAGACTCCATCTCAGAAAAAAAAAAGACTTGAATAACGCTATTTAACCAATTCCACATAAACAACATGAACGGAATACCCAGCAACAGCAGAATGTGCATTCAAGTGCACATCCACCAAGATATACCAATATATCCACAAAGATATATCTTTAGAGGCATAAAACAAGTCTTAATACATGCAAAAGAGGCCGGGTGTGGTGGCTCACATCTGTAATCCCAGCACTTTGAGAGACAGAGGCAGGGAGATCACTTGAGGTCAGGCGTTCCAGATCAGCCTGGTCAACATCGTGAGAATCCATCTCTACTAAAAATATAAAAAATAGACAGGCATGGTGGCATGCACCATGGGTGATGCAACCTGTAACTCAGCTACACTGAGACGGGCTGAGGCGGCGAAATCACTTGAACCGGGAGACAGAGTTGCAATGAGCCAAGATCATGCCACTGCACTCCAGCCTGGGCAACAGAGTGAGATTCGTGTCTAAAAAAAGAAAAAACAAAATAAATTTAACAGCTGGGTGTTGTAGCTACAGCCTGTAATCCCAGACATCTTTTGGAGGTCGAGCAGGCAGATTACCTGAGGTCAGGGCTTCTCTAGACCAGCCTGGCCAACATGGTGAGAAACCCAATCTCCACTAAAACTACAAAATAGCCGGCCCAGTGGTGGCTTTTATTGCCTATAATC